CTGCACAGGTTCAAATGCACTCCCATCATTCAAGACTGCCTCTAACAAACACAGCTGATCTTCCTGGGATAAAAGTAAACTCTTGGGTCCTTTGGAAGACAAACTATGTTTTCTCCACTTCTCACAGCTGCTATCAGTTCTTTTTGTTTTTCAGCCTAATGCACACATTTAAAATCATAGTTATGTAATATAACAAAACTTTGGAAGAGAAGGTTTATGGAAAATACCCATAAACTACTTCCTAACACAAAACACAGTGAGTGATCTGGTATATATCTAGCCTTTTTCTTTTTTATTTTTCTATGCATCTAATTTTATACATAGTGCAAGTCACTTGACCTCCCTCTGTCTCATTGTTTTATCTGTAAAATGGGACTATCAATGATGGCACCCACATCATAGGCTTGTTCTCAGCATCCAATGAAGAGGTAAAGCACCTAGATCGGTCCCTGACACCTGAGTGAGTTGTTCTGTAGGTGCCGTTGACTCAGTTCCTGAGTCAGTAGTTAGTATAATATGTACCTGTGTCATATTTGTTCTCTGCATGGAGCTAGATGAGAGGCTCCAAACCTGACTCATCCCTGTTTCCTGCACATCCTAACCCCTAGGCTCCTGGCAGGCCTGGCATGATGGCTGAGTGAATGAGCAGAGAGGGCCAGCCCTTTGCCCGGAATCCTTCCCCTCCTCTGTCTGCACTCATTCAGCTGTCAATTGGCCATTATGCTCTTGGCTAATGGGAAACAGAACCAGTTAATTAGCTAAACTGCTGGCATGAGGAAGGGCGTGTGATGGGCAGTCTTTACTGGTGGATGTACTGCCTGTAGCTGCCGGCTCAACCCTTCTGTCCAGTGGGATGCATTGTATCCAGCCTCGACTCTCTCATGTTCCTTCTGGAGCAGGCTCTGGCCTGACTTTGGCCAGCTCTTTGAGGCTCAGGGTGCTGTCTGCCAAGAGGGAATGACCCTCCCCTGCCTACTTCCCAGATAGGCGGTGACCAGTAAACTAGACAGCAAACATGAACTTGGAATAAAATGTTAAGCACATCTAGAATTAAGCATGCACACCCACGGCCGTAGCTATAAAGTAGAGGGGAGAAGGCGGAGCCGGAGGATCAGACTTTAGCTGACATCTACAGCAGGGAAGGTCAGCCAGCAAGTTCAATGGCTGCCCCATGTACCCTTGAATTCTCAAAGCCTACTGAGTAGGTGAACTTACATGATTTACTCAAAGGCCCCAGCACTCCCTCGCTGGACCTCCGTTTTCTCATCTGTGAAATGGCAGGCAGGGGGAATTTCTCTAAATCAGGAAACAGCTCTAGATGGGATCTGTGAACTGTGCAGAACTCTTGCAACATGATTGTTAGGGATGCTGTCATCCGGAAGAGGGAGGATGGGAACCTGGGATTCTAGCCCTGGGGGACTCTGAAAACAAATACAGTGGTAGCAGTGGCACAAACCCCACAAAAGAGGCCCCAGCCTAGACCCATTTATGGCCCTGCAGCGCCCAGGACGAGTCTTCTCAGGAGGCCTTGCACCTCTCCCTAAGCCTGCTACTCTTACCCTATACCTGTCTCTTAATGCTCCCAGGAAACCATCCCAGCCAGCAGGACCAGAGAGTGAGAGAGGCCACAAGAGAAGGCTCTAGAAAGAGGGTGTTCTGGTTCCCTAGTGCCGCTGTGACAGCAATATACCACAAATGGGAGGCCCTTAACAAACACAACTTTATTCTCTTACAGTTTGGAGGCTTTAAGTGCCAGGCTCTAGGGGCTGGATGAAAGCCCCTCAACCTTGGGGTCCAGCTCTGCCTCTTGCTCCCGGCCCACTGGAGCTAGAGGCGTTTCTTCACTCAGACAGCTGAGCATGGCAGGCTGCTGAACAACGACACGGCTACATGCAGGGTCTAAGCGTGCCATATGCTAGAGACCATTCCCAAAGCTTCTGCTTATGTATGGGAAGCAGACCACATCCCAAAGGCAGCTACTCAGCTGCTCCCAGTAGATTCCACCATGGAGTTGATTACCAGTCTCATCATGGGGAGTACAGCATCCAGCTGCCCAGCCACTCAACCAGGCCCAGCCAAGTTGATACAAAAACATAACCACCACAGAGGGGTGGGGGTGGGGGTGAGGAGAGCAGCTAAGGGGGTGGGGCAGAGGAAATGGATCCCTCAGAGTGCAACCCGCAGAGTAAGGAGGGCAAGGAGGGGGAGGAGCAGTAAGGGGAGGGGCTGGGGAGGGGTGGAGCCTCAGGCAGGGCCTGGGCTCAGGGGCTAAGCTAGCTGGCGACTCAGAAGGCAAGAAAGGATTCCTGCCTGAGACAAAGCCCAGCCCGAGGTGTTGTCTTTTGTAAATAGCCTTCATCATTTCTGTGTCAGAGTAAACAGACGCTCCCTCCTCCCACTGGCTCATGCGTACAGTATTTGAGGTGCCCTTAAGTGTTGTGTGTCAGACATTTGTGTGGCTGTATAGGGGCATGATGGACTGAAGGCTGAGGCAGGTTGGAGATTTCAGGGACAGGAGGTGGGAGCCACTGGTTCAGGAAGGGGAGCGTGAAGAAGAGCAGAGAGATTTGGACGAAGGGATATGGAGGTGTTTGGTGGGGGGGTTGGCTGCAGAGAGACATCAGGCATAACCTTCTCCTCCATCACCCCAGAAAAACATCCCGTACAACCAGTGTGACTTCAAGGCTCCCAAGGCCAGACTGGCATTCAGAAATTGAATGACATTCTTGAAATTGACCTCAAGGCTAGCCAACCCTGTCAAATATGGGATAAATGCTTTTTTTTTTTTTCTTTTACAAAATCAGTCTTCCAAGATTTGATGCGTGGGTTCCCGGCTGGAGACTTGTCCCTGAAAACCCTTTTCTTCACCTTGTGGCTGTGGTCTCCTCCCTTCACTGTCTCCTTTTCCCATATCGCGTCCTCTCTTCTCCCTGAAAGAGAACATGTCAATGCGTAAGTGCCCAACGGAGACTGCCCATCTAACAGTGGGCTCCCCTTGTAGACAGCAGTCGGGAGCCAGGCCGAGTGACTGGAGCTTCACAAACGGAGCCTTATTTAATCGTCCTTCAAACCTGGGGTCTTCTTTTACTCGCTGGGGAGATAAGGAGGCTCAGTGAGTGTGGCCATGGCTGGATTCAGAGCTGTCCATGTGTGAACTCACAGTTCACGTCAAGCCCGGGCTTCCCCGGCTCCAGGCAGGGAAGGGATGAGCCAGGGGGCAGCAGATGGGAGTGAGGGTCGTTCTGCTGAAACCAGGGCAGAGCCTCCATCTGAGGGGGGCACCATCTGAGCCGGCATGGAGTGAAGAATGGAAAGTGCCGGGGCCACCACCCTGGCGCCATTCCCTGGAGCTTCTCCAGGGTCACATCTAAGCTTGTTCAATTAAAAAAAGAAGGACGCTGCCGTGGAGTCGCGCATGCGCCCGGGCCCACGCACAGCACACCCAGGTGCAGCGGGGCCCTGCACCAGCCCCGTGATCAGCTGTGGATCCGACCCTGGGCTCCGTGGGCTTTGCACTGGCTGATTTTTGGATGTGGGTCACCACGCCTTCCTTCCTAGTCCCTCTCAGTGTGGACGCTCTACTGAAACCTGTCCAGCGTCCTAGCAACAGCCAGCCTCCCCTTTCAGCCAAGTGGCGGCTCTGCACGAGGGCGCTGGCTGGAACCCGGTCGCCTGTGTGGAAGGTGGCCCCAGGTGTGTCAGAGTGGAACTGTGCTCCATCTAATTAAAAAAAAAATTAATTGTGATTTGGTACAATTTTCCAAAGCAGATTCATTTTACTCTCAACAGTTCATCACCTTAGGCTTCAGGGCTCGAGTTACAATCTGAACAATGAAAACTTCCTCCCATCTCCGCCCTGTAACTACCGCTTCCCATCTATGGGTTCCTCTCTGTGCAGCTTTCTCCCTATTGCAAGTGCTGCCCTTCCGCTGTCTCCCGGTTGATTGGTCTAAGGGCTGCCTCTCCCCAGGGTAGGCGGATGCACCCCCTCTATACGGTTTTCAATGGCTGATCTTCAGTAGATCACTACCATCTCCAGGGGGGGATCCAACCCCCAAACTTGCGTTAGCAGCGGACCACATTCGCTGCTTGCATCCCCCTGAGACTCCCAGACCCCGTTGCCTGTTGGGAGTTCTTCCCACAGGTATCACCCTCATCTTGGAGAAGAGGGTCAGAGAGGGGGCCGGTCACCCAATGACTCAGGGACAGTGAGTGACAAGGGCAGGTCTGCCTGGTGGCTTCCAAGCTCAGGCTCTTGCCTTAAGCCCAGCTGCCGTCAGGAGAAAATCACGGTGGGAGCCAACATCTGTGGCACAGGTTGGCAGGGACAGGCGGTGGCCGTCCCTGCTGAGCCGAGGGAGCGCGCGGCAAGATGGATGGGCGCACCGGAGGCGGGCAGAGCGCCAAGGCGCCGCGGCCGTGATTGATGAGGACGTTCGTCCGCTGCGAGATGAGCAGCAAGGCCTCGGGAGGCGGCGAGGGGAGGGCGGGAAGAGGCCATGAATATTTCAGACTGCGCCCAGGTTGGAGGAGGGGAAGGGGTGGAGGAAGGGAGGCGCCCAGCCAGGGGTGGGGGCTCGGGACAGAGATGGGGGGCTGCCAAGTAAGGGGGAAGAGGCTCCGTGAGGAGTGGGGCTCAGCGAGCGGGAGTGGGGCTTAGGAGGCGACGGGCTCAGGGAAAGGGCAGCGGGGTGAAAGGGGACCGGATCAGTGGAGGCGTTCAGGGAGGGAAGGGGCTCTCTGATGGGCCTGTGGGTTGGAGGTTCAATGACAGGACAGGCTCAGGGGACACACAGGCCTCATTAAGGCGAAGGGGGTTCAGGGGGTGAGAGCTCAGAGAGGGGGGTTCAGGCAAGGGGGAGAGGGCTGAGGCTCTTCCTTCCCGGTGGTTAATTACTGCCCCGTCCAGGCCTTGGACACCCGGGCCCCGGGCGGCCGCCGAGAGGGGCAGCCGGGGCCGCCCGGAGGCCGGGGGTGCTGAGCGTGTCTGTCGCCGGCAGCGTGGCGGAGACCCCGCGGGTGACCGAGGGCGCCGAGCTGGGCCTGGAGTACGCGCCCTTCGACGAGGACGACGGCTCGGTGGGCTGCGACTGCCCGGCCGCCTGCTACCGCGGGCAGCGGGGCTACAGGTCAGCGGCGGCCGGGCGCGGGGCGGGGGGCGCGGGCCCGCGGGCGCCCCTCACCCGCCCCCTGGCCCTTCTCGCCCAGGACCAAGCACTGGTCCAGCAGCTCAGCGTCGCCCCCTCCCAAGAAGAAGAAGAAGAAGAAAGGGGGCCACCGGAGGAGCCGGTGAGAGGCTCGCGGGCCCGCTGGGGGGCTGCAGGGGCGGCGGGGCCCCTTCCCTGGGGCGCGCATCGCGCCCACTGCAGCCGGGCACACCCGCTCCCCGGGAGCCCCGCCCCCCACTCAGCCCCCTCCCTTCCCAGAGCCCCTCCCCCGTCACTGAACGCTTCCCCTTCACCAAGCCCTCCTTTCATTGAGCCATCCCCCCCATCCACCAGCCCCCAGAATGGGACACACGAACCTACTGGCCCCTGTGTCCCTCCACTTCCTCTCAAGAGCCGCTCCCCCTCGCCCTGGGGGTCTTGAACCCACCACCACAATGAGAGTGGGCTGGGGAGGAGGTTTGCCCCCCCCCATCTGATTTCCCCCAGATAGGCCCTCCTCCTCTGTCCTGAGCTGAGACCCTGGCAGGGGTCTGTGGCCCAACTAACCCTTTCCATCTGTCTGTCTGTCCTTTCTCCCCGGGCATCCACCTTCAGCAAAAAGAGGAGACTAGACTCAGAGTGCAGGTCAGTGATGAAGGGTGTAAGGCCAGACGGGGCCCAGTGGGTGCCGTTCTGTGGGTGGGAGAGGCCCCAAGTCCATCCTCAGGAGGCAGGAGGCCTGGCCCCTCAGAGCCTGGCCCCAGGGCACCACTAGTGTGCCCACCTTCCTCACGGATGGATGCCAGGAGTCCCACCAGTAGAGGCTCCAACTGTGGGGTTTGAAATAGCCCTCTGTTGCAATGCCAAGGGGGGTGGAGGGCTGACAGGACTAAACAGGCACACTCCATCAACCACTTTTAGGGTCCTTCCCTGCCCTTGGGGCCTTAGGTCCCTTCTATCCAAGTGGCAGTTGGGCTTCAAGGCCTGGAGACCCCTTCCCAGCTCTAATATACCAGGCCCCCAGGTTTCCCTCCCATTCGAAGCTGCCCCTGCCCCCGCCCCAGGCCCCAGCCTCATGGAAGTCCACCCTCTCTGTCCCCACAGCTGTGGGAGCTTCTCACCCCTGCGCAAGAAGAAGAAAAGTGTGAAGAAGCACCGCCGAGACAGGTGGAGCTAAGTGAACTAGGGATTGCCCAAGATTGGTGGCCCCCAGGCCACCCCAGGCCAGCTCAAGAGAACCTCTTTGTCACCCCACAGGTCTGATTCTGGGTCCCAGAGGAAGAGACGGCACAGGTGAGTGGTGCCCTGTGGAGTGGTGACAAGGGAGGATGTGGACAGAAGCTAGTGCGCCCCCCTTCAGGGGCCAAAGTCCGAAGGAAGCAGTGATGGGAGGGCGTTGTGGGAGGGGCAGAGGGGACAGGGCCCTCCCCTGCTCCATCCTCCCACTCCAGGTATGGACTCCTCCCTAGAGTAAGACTTGGGTTTGGGCTGGGAAGAGGATGAAAGCCCATCTTTTGCAACTCCTACCTGCCCAAGAATCAGCTTCAAGCTGGCTCAAGTCCTGAGCTGACTTGAAGCCTCAAGAATTTCCAGACAACAAATGAATTTGCTCTGTAAACTTTCACCCAAAGCACAATACAAATTTAAAAGGAAAAAAGAAAGAAAGAATTTTCAGACAACACAGCAGATGTCCAAGGGGCGTGTCCTTGGAGGTGCCCGTTGGGAAGCCAGAAGCATTGGGCCCCTGACTTTGCAGAGGAAGGACATGCCAGGGAGGAGGACCTCAGGGAGCTAGGAAGGCTGAGTGGGGGGGGGGGACACGAGGTGAGGTTCCTGGGGGGCAAGTGCTAGCCCCCAACAGGCCTGAGTGCCTGGTTATGGAGCTGACCTCCATTCAGGTGGGACTGGGAGGCAGCATGGGGCTCTGACAGGACAGTGACTTACGCAGGATGGACTGGGGGAAGTGAGGGCAAGGAGTGGAAGGTGGGAGTCCAAAGAGAGGCAGGGTGGCCAAGGGGGGGACAGATATGAGGGATGCTGAGAAGGTAGAAAACTCAGGCCGTGAAGGGAAGGAAGCTCTGGGGCGCAGTCACATCCCCAGTGTGGCATCACAGCCAGACCACCTGCCTGGCAGAGTCGCCAGGCCCATCCCTGCAAAGGGAATTTGCCCAAGGCCACTTGCTGGGCAGAGTTGTTGTTATGTGCCATCAAGTCGGACCCGACTCACAGCAACCCCTCCTTGGGTTTCCGAGGCAGTATCACTGCGGAAGTAGATTGCCCCATTTTCCTTCCGAGGAGTGGCTGGTGGGTTTGACACGCCAGCCTTCTGGTTAGCAGTCAAGTGCCTTAGGCACTAGCTACCAGAGCTCTAAACACCTAATCTTGGTCTCTAGACTCTCCCTCTTGTCTCCCCTTCCCAGTATGGGCCAGTGTGGACCCCTACTGCCCCCCCAGTGGTCACCTTTAGTTTACACAGACCCAGCTGGCCAGCCCTGGAAGGAACCTGGAGATGGGCTAGGGCTTGAAAAACTTTCAGTGAGGAGACTGAGGTCCAAAGCGGGTGAAGTGGGTTCAAAGACCCAAACCTCTAGCCTTCAGGCCTGCCCCCACCCACTCTGGTCCTAAGGAAACACATTTCTGTGTTTCTTGGCATCACCCTGGGGTCTTGAGGTCAGAAGGAGAGTCCTCAGCATTGGAGGGACTGAGTTGGAATCCAGTGGCCTCAGAGACAAGCGGCTGAGACGCCTACAGGGACTGAGGGTGGGGTGGGACTTCAGTGGCCTCGTCAGAACCTTCTCAGTCCTTTTGTCAAAGGCAGAAAGAGCTGGGCTGTGCACTCTGCCCCAGAGAGCAGGCTGGGTGGGACGTAAGCTTTGGGATAGATCTGGACGCAGAGAAGGCCCTCAGCAGGAGGGAGACTGTGCCCAAGGGAAAGCGTTTCTTTCCTCAACCCCCATGAGCTGGCCCAGCACTGACCACAGTCTGAGAGGCCCCATCTAAGAGGGCCGGGGACACAGATGAGGTAAGGAGAGCCATCCTCACCACTGCTGCTCTTTAGAGGGCCTGTCGCGAGGCCCAAAGTGCAGGGGAGTCACCCCTTATACCTGGTCCGGACCAGAGGCCTGAGGCTGACAGACTGGCAGGCAAGCAATATCCCTTTCCTTCTGGGGCCATGGTCACCCTACCTATGGCACTCCCAGAGGGAGCAGCAGCTGGGGCCCAGGCAGGAGGTGATCATGGGGCCAGGAACATAGACAGGAGAAGGAGGGGCTGAGGCTTGTCAGAGTGGAAGGGACCAGAGCAGGGAGATGGGAAGAGGCATGTCTGTGCCAGGCAGGAAGCCATGGCTCGGCCCCCTGTCAGACTGTGTGGTCTCTGCTATCTGCAGATCTCGAAGCCCCAAAAGCAAAAGAAAAGAGAAGAACAAAGAGAAGAAGCGGTGAGCACCCTTCCCCATGCTCCTGGCAAGCCCCGAGCCCCTCACACTCACAGCAAACCTGGACTTTAGAATCCCGGAATCAGGCCTCACAGACAGCCCATGTTGTCCCCTTGCCCAGGTGGAAAAACTGAGTCCTCGTCCTCAGTGGGTCACTAGCAGAGCCAGAACTGAAACCAGGTCCCTTGTCTCCCAGCCCAGGGTTCTTCGAGGTCATTTGGCTGGAAAGCCCAGCATGGTCCTGTCACTCCCCCTAGGCACTGGCCACTACATGTGGCTGGCAGTCCCTTCACAGGAGCACTGGCTGAGGGGTGCGGGGGTCAGTGAGCCCCAGTGTGGGGCTGGGGCAGGCTAGAGAAAAGATGGTCCAGATGGACTAGCTGGCTCTGGGCCTACCACCTCATTTGACCCACAAAAGAGCCTGAGGTGTTGGGGCAGCAAGACTCCACTGGGGTAGTAGCCTTCACTGGGATCCTCCTGGGGGGGTCCAATGACTTGGGGCCCAGGGTGGGCAGAGCTTGGCCACAGGCTGCCTTCTGTCCCCTGTGCCAGGCCACACGGAGAGTCCTCAGGCCGCAGGTCCCATCGCCACAGTAGCGGCAGCTCCCACAGCCCCTCCCTCTCTTCTCACTACAGTGATTCCCGGTCACCCAGCAGGTAGGCGCTGGGCCACTGGGAGGGCGCTAGGTGTAGTTCCCGCATGGCTTTCTGCTAAGGTGGGGGTGGGGCACAGGAAAAGTTGAAAGGGCTGCGGGGCCTGGGGGCGGGGTGGCCAGTGGGCAGGACATCAATTAATCAGTGCATGGGAGCTGATCACGGGAGTGCTGGTGCCCACCAGGAACTGGGCCCTGGGGAGGGGAAGGAAAGGCTGAAGGCGCCCCAGACCCCGCATTGGAAATCGAGGTACGTTAAGGGCTGGCTCCATCCGGGTGGAGTCCTTGCTGAACCGGGCCTTGCTCTCTCTAAAGGGGTGGAAGAGCGGGTGGGGACGGCCCCTGGGGCCGAGAGCAGCCGCTGGCAGAGCGGGCGTCCCACTCCGGCCACCCCTGTGCGCCACCCCCTCAGGCTGAGCCCCAGGCACCGAGACGACGGGCGGAGGACTGGCAGTCAGCGGTCCAGCGGGAGCCGGTCGCCTTCCCCGTCCGGCGGCAGCGGATGGGGGTCGCCCCAGCAGAACGGCAGCAGCGGGCAGCGGAGCGGAGCGCACGGGTGCCGCCCGGCGCACACCCCGCCCGATGTACGTACGCTTCGCTGTCCGTAGCGTTGCAGCACCGCGGCGGGCCGCCAGAGGGCAGGGGCGGAAAGCGGGGAGGCGCGGGGCGCGCACGCCTGCCGCGGACCGGGCGCTTCCCCTCCCGCCCTCACCCCCTCCGCCTCCAGCGGGGGGCGTCTTGGCCGGGGAGGCGCCCCGAGGGCTCAGTCCGCGCGCCCACGGGTACTAGTGTCCCGGTGAGGGCGACCTGCTGGCTCGGACGCCCTTGAGCTGGCAAACCGAAGGCCAGAGAGGGGTTGACCACTGTTCAGGAAGCTGGAAACAAAGTAGGGGAGGACTCCTGCCTCCCCCAAGGCGTATGAGGTGGGAAGGGGCTTCCGTGTGCATTGGTAGGGGTCACAGTCAGAAGCAGGACTCAAGAGACAAGATGTTCCCTGGGTGGCACTTAGGCCCTGAGCCTCCCTGTCCTCACCAAGGCTTTCCCCCTCTCTGAGCCTCCCCTCTCCTCCTCTTCTGGACCCTTCCCCCATCTCAGTCCCCTTGCTGCCAAGGAGAATCTGTCCTCCCTTGTGGACAGTTGTCTCAGAACTTCTGGTGGCCCATACCCACCAAGGCATGTCCCTGAGCCCACTGCTCCCTCAGAGACCCCAACATCGTCCCTCAAACTGTCCCCACCCTTCCTCCATGAGGGGCACAGATTGAGACTGGCTGGTGCTGGCAGGCTGAGAGCCTGCCCCAGGTGCAGGTGGATGGACTGGGCCAGGTGGATGGGCATCTCCCAGGCCCCAGGGAAGGTCCACATCGTCTTTTGTCCGCTGGTCAGAGTATAGGCTGAGGGCCCTTAGAGAAAGGGGGCTGCAGTACTGGCAGGGGCACTGGTTGGGCACAAGGGCCTTGGAGTGAGGTGGGGTGGCCTGCAAGTTCCTCCCAGGACCCGCAGACTGCCCCAGACTCCTCAGCAGGGGCGGGAGTGTTGCTTCTCCCCAGACCTCAGGTTTCAGCAGCAAACATGTGCGTGTCAGTCAGTTTCATTTTGATTTTTGCCTGTTTCCTTTCACTTCCTTTCTTTTCTCCAACACCTTTCCTCCCATGGCCTCAGAGAGGAAAACCAGGGGCTGCTGGCAAAGGCTCTTGGTCTCAAGGTTAACGTTTATTTAAGGACATGATTTGTCTCTAGACTGTCCCTCCTGGACAGGGTGCCAGGCTCCTGGGCCCTGTGGGACCTGGCTGCGTCACGGGGCAGGAGATCTCCCAGTTGCCCTGAGTCTGTCTTGGGCCTCAGAGGGCACACAGGTGTAGCTGGTAGCAGCTATGGCAGGGTCTTGTGCTGGACTGAATCACAAGCCCCAGAGATGACAGCCTGACTTGGGCAAACCCAGAAGAGGGTGCATCCGCCCCCACCTGTGGATACAGACCCCTAATGGCAACAGGGCCCCAAACACCTTCTTACCAGAGTGCCATATCTTCCACGGCCTCCTGAGAGGCCCACAACTCCAAGGCCTCTTCAAGCTGGGGCTGTAAGGGCCTTCCCACTCCAGGTCCTCACCCCGGCCCTGGAGGGCTAAGCAAACCCCCTCCTGCTCCCGACCCCAGGACCCTGGGCTTGTGTAGGCAAAATGGCCACAACAACTAGCTAGACCCCCAGAGAGAGAGGTGAGGGAAGGACACCCAGCCTTCAGCCTTGGAGAGGAAGGCTTGGCAGCATCCAAATCTTATCTCCCTCCCAAAGTGGGCCTCCATTTTGGTATTTCCCTGGGGAATGTTCTAGAAAACAGCTCTTTGTTTCGTCTTTCACAAAGCATAGTCCCCAAATCCTGCCCGGAAGTTTTTGGGTCCGGGGAGATCTGGAACCCAGGCCAGCCCAGGTCTCTCACCTAGGTCTACCCTCTTTGCCTCCACTCTGGTCCCGAAAAGACTTTCTGTGGAGATAAGGGGGCAAGTTCTCCCTCAGATCCAGGGAGTTGAGATGGGGGGCTGGGGAAATCACAGCCTTTGCCAAGTAACAAGGAAATGTCTTTGGGGACAAGTACTGGGGGTGGTATTCTTGGACACTACCTTTTAAGAAAGAAAGAGAGAGAGAGAAAGAAACAAAACCAAGGAAAAGCTCAACATTTTGTAACCGAGTCTATGTTTTTGTTTGCTTTTTAGCCTCCCATTTGAAACGTGGTAATATTGTGATTCCATTTCTTGTTTAGTAGGCAGGGGAAGAGGGTGGGACATTTATGTGAATTTTCCTGTTATTTTATTTTTCTTTCCTCTTTTTTTTTTCCTTTTGTAATGTACAGAAATGCAAGCTCTCTTTTTTTCTACCTTCTGTGTTGTCCTAGAATTTTGCTTTTATGTGTGTTGCTGTGGGAACTTTTCCTCATAAACGCAAAGATGGTTTTGGAATTCCTAGTGAACATTAATCATATATGTATCTCTCCCGATACTTTTTTTTTTTTCCTTTGTAATCGGAATTTAAAAGGGAAGATAACTTTCAAAAGACAATGGCTCCCACACCCACAGCTCCTGTCATTTCCACAGCAGAAGCTGGCCTCTCCTCACTCTCGGGGCTGTGTTGAAACTGCCTCAGCTCCCAGATTAGCAAAAGGGGTGCAGCCATACTTCAGTGTCCCCACCTATAATGAACCCTGTAGAGAAGCCAGGAGATCCAGAGAGGGGGAGAGACTTGTCCCACAGTCAGTTGCCCAGAACAATGAACTTCCTCTATCGCTTCAGTTCAGTCCAATATAATGTGGCTGAGAGGGCCCCAGGAATGTGGGTGTTTTGGAGACAGGTAGGGGGAGGCTCTTAGCACCTTCAAGTCAGGCCTGAAACTCTGAGGAGGCCTGTGGGAGGGGGCAGCCGAGAGTTCAGCAGCACAAGGCCTCGAAGCCAGAGACTCCAGGCAAGAGGAAAGTTCCATTCTGATCTTAAGACTGAGAACGATGAACTGGCCCCTAATGCATCTCTTTGTTGTCCCATCCCAGGCCAGGGCTGTTCCCCAAAGGACTCTCTGGATTCTCATGCTCAGAGATGGCAAAACTGCACCACAGAGAGGTCGAGTGGTTGGCTCAAGGTCACAGAGCTATTTAGAGAGAAGAGTCCAAAGTAGAGCCAGCCCTCTGGCCTCGAGACCCCCAAGCCATGGAGAGGGTCATGGGACAGAAAGTACACTCCAGGGGAAGGAGGATGGGAAGGTGGATGCTAGCTGTCCCCTGCTCCCCTCCAGATGGCCAAGGCATGCTCCCAGCTCTCTCAGCTCCCTGGTCCTGAGCCTGGCCACACTGAGAGATGGGGCCACTGGTGGTCCCCCATGTTACTCAAGCTACTCTGCATGATTCCTGAGTCAGGGAACCTTAATCCCTCCTGGTTTATATGCCCACAGAGAAAGGATGAAGCACAGAGAAGGAACTTGTTCAGTGTCACGCAATGTGGGCTGGAAGAGTAAGATGTGAAGCTTACTTGTCCTCATGGGACAAGTCCTCCCTTCCACTTTCCCCGGCTGCCTTCCCTGACCTGACCTCCAGCCTCTAAGAGTAGATGCCAGCCCTGTCCTTCCCGAGGCTCAGCACAGTGGGCAGAGAGGGGGAGCAGAGTTTACAGTCTTAGAAGCAGGGCCCGGCCCTGCGATTAGAAGTGTCAGAGAAGCCTTGGAGGTAACCTCACTGGGCAAGAGTGACAAAGGCTTGTGAGGGAGGCCCAGGGAAATTCACTTAGAGGGTAACCTAGTGTGACCCCAAGAAGAGGGGCCCATGGTACTCCTTGACCTGCCTCAGCGCAGGCTTCCCCACTACCCATCCCCAGGAAAAGGCCATGACCATGACAGCAGCTGGAGTGGGGGAGTCAAGAGAGGGGATACCTTGGCCCCTCTTCCAGGATGCTCCTGTTTCCTGACGCAAAGCCAAAACCAAGAGGGATGGATTTTAACTGAAATGATGGTGAGGCAGGACCCAGCCTCCAAATTCAGTGTGTGGCCGTCTTCCCTTTTAAAGTGACAGCACCCTTCCCACCCTATCTGTCCACTCTGATTGGCCTTGGAAACGGCTCTCTTCTTCCTGTCCGGGCCCATCTCTCTCGCCAGCTTCCTGTCTCTGTCTCTTGGTCTCTCTGTTTCCGTCTGTCTATGTTTCTGTCTTTCTGTCTTCGCCCTCTGTCCCTGTCTCTCTCTCTCCCTCCTTCTGTGTCCCTGTCTCTCTCTTCCTCTCCACCTCTCTCCGCTGACATGGGCCTCTCTCCCCACGCTGCCAGCCCCGCCTTCAACGCCCCCTGTGTTCTGCTTCCATCCGCTAATTCCTGCATGTTTCCCGTGTTTAAAGAATTAAGGAAAGCTTGTCTATCTATTGGAGCCCGTGGATTGGAAAAAAAAAAAAAAAAAGCTTATAGAAACGGCTGCGCCACAGCCCCTTCCCATCCCGGGGCGACCGGAAGGCCACACTGGCTGCCCGGGGCGACCGGAAGGCCACACTGGCTGCCGGCTCAGAGGGGAGCGCAGTTTAGAGTCACTGTCTGTCCCCGCTTCTGCGTTCCCAATGTGGAGACTTTGTTTTCTTTTTTATTATTGCATTCCTGTCCCTGACCGCTGAGAAGGTAGGTATCCCGGCTCCGCTGGGCACTGCTTTTTCCATTTCCAGATAAGCCCTGCCACTCTGCTTGGTTTGAATGTGGTTTCCCTTTCTCTCTCTCTCTCTCTCTCTCTCTCTCTCTCTCTCAGTCTCAGTCTCTCTGGTTGGTTTACCCCCCCCACCCCTTTTTCTTTCTTTATTTTAGTGACTACTCATTTGTGACTTGCGTTTTCCCCAAATGAGCTCCAAAGCTGTGTTTCCTGGTTTGTCCTTTGGTTTTTCTTGACTTCCTCCCTCTCTGCCACTTGTCTATGCTCCTTCGCACCCTGTCTTTCTCATACTGTCCGAATGCATTTCTGTGTGGTTTAGCAGTCCAAGTTCATGTTCCCTTCCTAACAGTATGCTGTGGTTGAGCCCATTTGATTTCTGTTTTCTGAGTAACTGCTAAGCCCCTCACCCCTGCCAGCCCTTGGGCTTTGGTCACCCCACTGGCCCTCGGAGCGCCCGCTTGAGCAGTCACCGTGGCTTAGGAGGAAGTTCTGGCCGAGGCTGGCCAAGAGGAAGGAGCCCCACTCCCACCCCCTTGGGCGGACTGGGCCAAGCTGAGCTGTGAGCTTCCATGAGTTCTTCCCTGACAGGAGGACAGAGCCTGTCCCAGCACTGGGGCTCTGGGGCTGCAACCGGCCCCA